TGCAATGGCCTACTCCGAGTGGGAGGACGATTGAAACGAGCTCCGCTCAACCATGATGCGAAACATCCAATCATTTTGCCAAAGAAAACGCATGTGAGCAACCTCATCATTAGCCATTATCACCAAATATCTGGTCATTCTGGGCTCGAATATACTTTGTCGTTAATTCGGCAGAAGTATTGGATCACTGGCGGAAGATCTAATGTGCGAAAGGTCGCAAACGAGTGTTTCAGCTGCAGACGAAGGCAAGCACCAGCCATGCAGCAGAAAATGTCCGATCTACCGGAAGACAGAGTCGTACCATGTGAAAGACCATTCACGTACGTGGGAGTCGATTGCTTCGGACCGATCGTGGTGCGCCGTGGAAGAAGTAACATAAAGCGGTACGGCGTGATATTTACATGCCTTTCGATTCGAGCGATTCATGTCGAGGTCGCTCATTCGTTAGATACCGAGTCATTTGTGAATGCTCTGCGAAGATTTGTGTCCAGAAGAGGAACTCCCGTGGAAATACGCTCCGATAACGGAGGGAACTTTGTTAAAGGCGAGAAAGAGTTACGTGAAGCAATCGAGGGATGGAATCAACAGAAAATTCACGAATCGCTGTTGCAGAAAAATATCAAGTGGATATTCAACCCACCAGCAGGTTCCCATCACGGCGGCGTGTGGGAGAGATGTATTAGGACGGTGAGAAAGGTGTTTAATGCGTTAATGAAGGAGCAAACAATGGATGACGAAGGGCTGAGTACTCTAATGTGCGAAGTTGAATCGATAGTAAACGGACGACCGATAACGAAAGTATCAGACGACCCAAAGGATCTTGAAGCGTTAACCCCCAACCATCTACTACTGCTACACCCTGGACTCTCTATTCCACCTGGAAAGTTTTCGAGAAACGACAACTGTAGCGTGCGTCGTTGGCGGCAGGTGCAATATCTCGCTGACCTGTTCTGGCGACGTTGGCTTCGTGAGTATTTGCCTTCTTTACAACAGAGACAAAAATGGAACGAGTTGCGGAGAAACGTGGAAGTCAACGATATTGTTGTGGTGCTTGATGAGAAATCCCCTCGCAGTTCGTGGCCACTTGGTCGTGTTCTCGAAGTATACACCAACAAGAAGGATGGTTTAGTGCGATCGGCGAAGATCAAGACATCCACGTCAGTTATGGTTCGACCAATAACCAAGATGATCCTGCTGGAAGAAGCTCATAACGATAAGTAGAAACACTTTAATTAGTAGATTATAAGCGCTCAAACCTTTATACTGTGCAGTATTTTTTTGTAAAGGTTATCCCGTAGGTAACCTTTAAGGGGCCGGTATGTTGGTTTGAAACGCTTACTTAAAATTAGTTCATTGTCCTTCATAAATAGTTCATTATGTTTTAGTTAATAATATAGTTAATTTGATTGATACCAGAACGGAAACAGCTATACCATATGTTCCTAATAGACTAGATAGCGTGAGTTAGTAAAGTTGTGACTGCGTCAGAGTAAGGACGTGTAATTGCTAAAGGCTATTTAAAAAAGGGATATTTCTACGTATTTGTACGAAGAACTGCTAATCGAATTGAATTCATCGCTACTCGTTTGGTACAAGTGTAAACCAAAGTACGTAAGTTTTACAGTATTGTATGTGCTTGTTAGTTTTGTTAGTCAATGACATTTGTGTGTTAGTTTTCGCATGCATTAAGTAACATAGTTAAGTAGTTTATTTTATTGTCATGTTTCAGTTCGAACCTACAATCTACAATCTACAATCTACAATCTACAATCTACAATCTACAATCTATGCTACAATCTATTTACGCTACAATTTATCCTACAAATCTACGACTGCGCCTAACCTACAAGTCCCACATCGTGTTTATTCTACAATTTGCTACCGTATTGAATTTCTACTTGGCTACAATACGTTGCGTGACTTGTACAAAGGCCATTGATTTTGTTGAATATTAAATTTGTTAACCATTGTACGTCGATTTGCTATTTGTTGAGTTCGAATATTCATTTGTACCCATTTCAACCATTCAACCCCCTGTGACTCTTGTATTTGGCAACCAGGAGTTACACTAGGAACATTGCATGTAAACCGCTGGCCAGTCGAGCCCGCATATTTTTCGTGCGCTAGACAATGACATTTAAGAATTTCAAAAATTTAAATCAGTTGAATTATTCATCGAGCAACAAACTATGTAATTGTAAGGGTAAATGTTATATGGAAAAGGAATTTTTAATAAAGTAAATGAATAAGAGGGTGTATTGTGGAGACTGCGAGAAGAGTTGGTCCAGAAAGGCTGGTTTTGATGAGCATTTTAAGCTAACCCAGATAAAGAGTGGTGATCGTGGCGGTGCTCTTATTAAAAACCCATGTTGTGAACGGAAAAGAAAAGTTTGGAGTTACACGTTAGAAGAGGCCCGAGCCAGCAAGAAACAGAATTCACAGACTGTGAATATAAAATAGTCACAGGATTTGACTCGCTTGAGGGCTTTTGGGCTAACTGCAAAATTTTTTTGGCTACCTGCAAAAAAACTAAATATACAGGCATGCCCAACGGAGAACACATTCTTTTGTATAATCGGAACTTGCCTGCCAGCAAAATAGGCATAAACAGGACATGGGGTTCAAACTGTCCAGTTTACTAATCATTGCAAACTAATCTTATGCAGGAAGAATCTGGTATAACTCTGAATACAGTCGACAGTGTTGAGGGATTTGTGACGGAAATCAACAACGGCCATTGGGATACAGTGCTTCAAGCTGTACGTCAACCTCTGAAATTACCTGACAAAACTCTTATTGAGCTTTATGAACAGGTAGGAAAAACTCAGTTTGAAAACTCAACATCGGTTGAATAGGTTTTCAAAAAACAATTCAACCAATGTTGGTCTGGGAACAAACCTGAAAAAAATGAAAAGCAGGGAAAAAATCAGAAGAAAAAAACTGTTCGAAAACTCGGTAATATTGAAAAAAAATGTTAATAATTCCACATACCGTAAACCTCCGACTATAAGCCCCTACCCCCCGAATATAAGCCCACCACATACTAACGCTCACCTCATTCCAAATATAAGCCCCCCCCCCACCGAATATAAGTCCCCTGAATATAAGCCCAGTGGCCCACTACGTTATTCAGCATTGACAGTGTCTTTTAATATAGCAGAGAACAATATTTAAAAACATTGTGATTGTCTTTATAGCTTACTACGTTAATCAATGCGTGTTATTAATACATGTTTATTTTCCTGTTTATGACCGACTTGTTTATTACTAACACAAAAGATCGTCCATGTATTAGCCCCTCCCCATATATAAGCCCCCCCCCCTTGCATAAGGCCATCAAAAATCGCCCAGGGCTCATACTGTAGTCGGAGATTTACAGTATTTGTGCACATGCTTGATTAGTTGAAGAGAAGGCAGATGTCTGTGAAGACATGTAGATACCAAAAAAGTTTTTTCTGTTTTTTTTTCCCTGAACCAAATGAAAGTATTTAATACCTGAAATTATTTAACTGAATGGAAATTAATTTCTCTCCCAAATAAGAGGGCAGAACGAAATTAGATAATATTTCATCTATTATTGAGTACATTTTGTTTTTCCAACCGTGAAAGAACGACACTTGACAGCCTAATGGCTAATGTTGCATGCTTCATTCAGATTGTGCTTGAATTAATTGAGCTTCGTGAACTTGGTGCTGCCAGATCATTACTTCGTCAGACAGATCCAATGATTATATTAAAGTCGCAACAACCTGATAGATACCTACATTTGGAAAACTTACTGGCAAGATCTTATTTTGATCCAAGGGAGGTGAGTGGCCATGAATGTTATTGTGGAATTTATAGCTACGGATAGGTGAATGTGACTACCACAGTTTGCTGCAAGGCCATTGTCAAGGAACTGAAAATGTAAAGATTTAGTTCATTTAAGTTGTGCTGTTTTTCTCGCAGGCATACCCTGAGGGAAGTAGTAAAGAACGAAGAAGAGCCGCAATTGCCCAAGGTATTGCCTTAGAAAGTTACTAGGAAATTAATCCGTAGAAACCGATAATCTGCAACTTTCAGGCAGACGACCTCGTTCCCAGGCTCTTTGCTCTTGTCAAGCAAAGACCCTGGTCGGGGCTGGTCACGTGACCCCGCAGATTCTGCGTGGTAAATCGAATTGATCTCAGGGAGGGGTGGTAGAGGAGTCTGTTTGTTACGTTTGGAAAATTGCAATTTTATGTGTTATAGTTTCGGGTGATAAAAATGTAATTTGCAACAAGAAATCGTGAAAGGAATAGTTTTAATTCGTATTCATCATGACACAACTTCCTGCTATACTGAATGTCATCAATAATAAGTGTTGCGGTACATTTCAAGCGACAAGCTGGATCATATTTCACTTCCAAGGACTCCACACGCGCCTGGCTTGCGAAGTTGAGCACGCATCGCCGTAGAAACATATAAGTCTTCCCAATTCTATACCGACTGACGATCAAACGATACTAAATGAACGATATGGTTGTTTATTGTTGAAGTGTCTCCTGTCCGATATTCAACAAAGCCAACGGATTTATTTTATAATGGAAGATTTCCCAAACATCGCTAACTGTGTGTGTAAACAATAGTGCTATCTTGACTGTGAAACACGATTAAAACCGTTATGGACTGTAAAATTCCTTTCATTTGCATTGCTGAAACTCAACGATCAAGAATGATTATGTCGAAGACTCGAAGTATAGCTATCTGTCATCAGACGAACACCAAGACCACTGCGTTTCCGTGCGTGCGGTACATATAACTTGAATATTTAGGACGATATATGCACCAGATTGCACCAGACACTGGTATTGTACTTCATAGTAAATTATTTCATATTTTGTGTATTACAGTAATTTACAGCAGGTACATTATAAACCTTATAAAGACCTTTCATTCCCATTGCCCATTCAGTAGTGCTTTATATTTGAAGAATAACCCGACAGCTTCTTTCGACTTGTATAATGCTGCTGTGCGTCAGTCAATATTTAAATCAACTTTAAATAATCTTTATCCTATACTGTATAAATGACATTTTAGCAGTTTCACCAAACCATACTAGAGGCAAACAACCTATCTATCAATGGAAACTTTAAATGGCTTATTAAAACTCATTAATTAAGTAATTCTATGAGCTGGACTTCGTGCGCATATATACAGTTTATGAACTATGTATATATATCCCTGATAAAACGTAGGGACACTTTATACCAGATATAATAAAAAATACTTTGCTAAACCTTTTCGGCTATCATTCCCTTGCATTCAAGGGGCGAGGGTGAATGGCTGTATAATTCATATCGGAGATTCTGTGCAATATGATTTAGTGATTTTGGCTTCAACAAACAGGTACTCGTGCAGACAAAAAAGGAAATGCATACAGTTGTGAATTGTCGTATAATTCTTTACTGTTGATCCCAAACAATTTTGTACATGTACGTTAACACTCCTTCCTACTTTGTGTTGAATATAAACGATGATAACCTTTTTAAAAAAATCTAGAGCACTATGTCTATAAACCGTTTTAGAATCAATAGAATGGGCATTCAATGTCTATTTGGCTAGTGTCCAAATATGTAACGTTTGCTGTAGGACCAGCAAGGCGTAGCGCCTACGACCTACACAGTCGCTTTTGAGACCTCTATTTAACAAAATGTATACCGTTTCCATATGATAACAATGCAATGGCACATAAGAACATTATACGTATCTGAACCAGAGCCAAAGAACAATAAAAGGGCAAATATTTCCAAGCATTACGATCATACGTTTTCGTTGCTTGATTTTCTGACTTGTTAGTTGCTATAAGAATCTACAGTTTAGCATGTTTGTATAATTTAAAAGCAAACAGAAACCAATTTAGCAAGTATTTTGAAGTATATATGATTCTCAAAGATGATTGTATAGAACGGTCACTCCTTGCAATTGAAGTGTGAGGTGCGGAAGTGGAAACATGTAATTTGATACTTTTCCATCCCCCTCTTAGGTTATCAATTTTCTATGGGTCACGTGACCAGCCCCGACCAGGGTCTTTGCTTCACAAGAGCAAAGAGCCTGGGAACGAGGTTGTCAGGCAGATCGGTTATCGGCTAATCACATTGACATATATTACCATGTACCGGCCGTCCAATAAATATAATTCTGGCTTTTACTTGTGATATTTACTCTTCTTTGTCAAGAAAAACTATGTGGGTTTGTCAAACAGATTCTCTTTCATAAAGGAACTGTCAGATCTACTTACGCTGTTAGTCATTTACCCGGATACTTTTCCGAAATAAATTGATTACCACTGTAAATTGAGTCAATCTCTTCCTCGACTATCGTAACGACATTTCTGTTACTGGCCTGTTAACTTTTGTAATATTTTGCTAGCATTTTGCCCCAATTTTGAGTGTTGAAAATTCCTGTTAACAAATATCGGTAACCACAGATAAATCGGTTTCCTTTACTTCCCAGCTTTATCCGGTGAGGTGTCGGTGGTTCCACCATCTCGCGTGCTAGCTCTGCTCGGTCAGGCATTGAAATGGCAACAGTATCAAGGACTACTACCTCCTGGTACTTCCATTCATGTGTTCCGAGGCAAGGCAGCTGTACGCGACGAGGAAGAGGAAAAATATCCAACACATCTCAATAAAACTGTCAAGGTAATTATGGATTTGGCAAATTTAAAATTGATTATGCATATGACCAATGTTAAATTGGTTACAGATATGACCGATTTTTATTGGTTATTTTGGGTCATTCAACATTGAGTGACCAAAAGAAATTAAATTTACCATTTGAAATTGGTTGAAAATGCAACCAATTATGTATTGGTCGGAATGACCAATACTGAATTGGACATTTTAACCAATTTGTTTTTATTGTGTATGCTGTATTTTTGTTTTGTAAGGTTATGGACAGTGGCAATAACACACCCTTCCGGAAAGGACCCCTCGCTCATTTGGGTACAGTACACCCCTGATCTTGTGAACATTTATAGAATATTTCTCTATACATAAATGTCATAGTTTGGTTCGAAATCCCATCCAGAATGTGGTTTGTTCTCGCCCGATGGACAGTACTTGGTGACTGGTAGTGTCGACGGTTTTATCGAGGTCTGGAATTTTACGACGGGAAAAATAAGAAAAGACTTGAAATATCAAGCACAGGTAGGTCCAGGGTAAATGAACAAATAATAGAGAGTTTAAGCTTCGCGTTATACGTCAAACGGCAAACGCCAGACAAAGAAAAATTTTACGGTATCAGGCAATAAAGAGTAAATGAACTTGCTGTTTTAAAACTGCAATGCATGATTATTCTTTCGACACAGGAAAGAAAATATGAAACGAAAACGTTCAACGAAAATTTTGCCAAGAAAGTTCGAACCTGCCGTTTGGCGTTCCCGAAAACGCGAACTTAATGGCTTCCTGAATCTTTCTTTTGATTGGACGAGCTTTAGTTTGATTAGATTTTTCTTTTTGTTTTGCAATGCAATTGGTTAGTGTTCTCTAAGTGACCCCACTTACTGTAGACGCACTGTAAACCAATATTACTGCAAATTGGATTTATGAAAATGAGTAAACAGAATGACCAATTTTGGTAATTTTTATTCAGGATAACTTCATGATGATGGAGGATGCAGTGTTGTGTCTGACATTCAGTCGAGATAGTGAAATGTTAGCCTCTGGTGGGCAGGATGGAAAAATCAAGGTTTGTCTTTTAGACTCTCACGAGTCACGATGAAATAGAAATTTTAAGTTTTAAAGAAATAAAACAAAACTACTTCGTCATTCCTGTTCATTGCATATGGCGCGGTAGATTGGACAAATCGATGATTTGTCTAGTAGATGATCATGTGCACATTTAATACGATGACTGTACACGTTTAATATGATGACTGTACACGTTTAATATGATGACTGTACACGTTTAATATGATGACTGTACACGTTTAATATGATTACAGTGTACATTTAATATGATAATGATCCTTTGATTTGATAATCGTACACCTTTGATTTCACGATTGCACACCTTTGATTTGACCATCGCACACCTTTGATTTGATGATCGTACACCTTTGATTTGACGATCGTACACCTTTGATTTGAGGATTGTACACCTTTGATTTGACGATCGTACACCTTTGATTTGAGGATTGTACACCTTTGATTTGACGATTGTACACCTTTGATTTGATGATTGTACACCTTTGATTTGACGATTGTACACCTTTGATTTGACGATTGTACACCTTTGATTTGATGATTGTACACCTTTGATTTGATCGAAGGCCCGTGAACTTTTAACAGCGGTTGTACAAACACAACCATCTAGCGCTTCAATTTTGGCAAAATGGCGTCCCCAAAAGATATTTTGCAGAATTGTGCTAAATGCCATGGGCGTACGGGAAGCAAAAAATTAGGGGGGCGGAAAGAAATTTGCCCGACTTTTTCGGATTGTGCCCGAGTTGTCAAAAAAAAATTTCCGGAGAAACTTTCCAAAAGTGTTGTCGACGGGAGGGGGGGGAGGAGTGCTTACGCAAATTTCCTATTAGATAGCATATTTCCTACAAAATTGACAGAATTTGTCCCATTTATTTTTATAATAAGCCAATGTTGCCCGACTGTGAAGCGAATATTGCCCGACTGGCTTTGTTTGCCCAACAAACTGGGAGGGGGGGGCTTGCCGCCCCCCTCGCCCGGTACGCCCATGCTAAATGCTAATAACATTTTAAGATTTATACAAGGTAAGCGATTATTAGTGTATTTGCTATCATTCAATTGTTTATGTGAAATTCTTTAAGGTGATGACTATTGTTTATAATTATACACTGAACAATTTTTAATGCAAATCGTTGTGCCGGAAAATTAAAATTCCGTGTTTATTATAAATGTTTAATAATAATACACGTGTTACAGCAGGCCTTAAAATATCGGTCGGTCACGGACATTGTCCGACCCATTCGTGAAATTGTCCGACGTAGAAAGGAAACCACCGGACATTCTGTCCGACCTAAGTGAAAATGAGGTTTATTGTTTGTCCGACCCGACTCACCCGAGTGTATTGGTGTCCGACCGAACTGTAGCTTTGTCCAACGTAAATCAAAATGTACCCTAGCCCAGGACAAGAAACTTGTGTGTTAAATGGAAAATCAGAGTACTATTGTATAAAAGGTCAACTGGAAATGTTGTTTTAACGTAGTCGAGCACGGGGCGGCGAGCGAAATGGTGAAGTGGAAAACGGGTTTAAGTTGTCGAAGTCTTTTTGATACTGCTGTTCTGGAAAGCAAGTTAATTTTGGCTTGGAAATAAGTATGAAAGAAACAAATTATTTAATATTTTTACAACATTTACCGTTCATTCATTTGTGTCATTCAGACTTATTTCCGAGTCAAAACTGAACTGAAGGTCATCGGACATATGTCCGACCCAAACTCAACGTCACCGGACATTTTGTCAGACGACCCTGGAAAAGATATTTTAAGGCCTGGTTACATTAACATTTGTATATTTAAAAGTCGTCATTCCATGCAACATTAATTTTAGGGATTGTTTATTAAGTCATGTAGTAAAAAGCGTAACGTAATACTATTAACCTATACAGAAAGTCCTCTTTATTGTTTTCTGTACATAAATCCATCTCTATTGTACCTATAAAAATACTAACCTATTCACTAGCCTGCGAACAGGCTCTCAAGCTGAATTGAGAGCCTGCATCGATGACTAATGAATTTGAATATCTGCCCCGTAACGTTCGTTTTTCCAAATATGGAGTGTCTATCCTTATATGGTGTTGTTTACAACTTTCGTGCAAACTAAATTTAGACCGTAACTAAATTTAGACCGTGCAAACTAAATTTAGACCGTACAGTTTATACTGTTTTTCGAAATATAAGATATTCAAGCAAAAGTTCAAATGTTTTAAATACTGTTTTCTCAAAACAGAACATTTCGTGCTTTGAGATAAGACGGCCAAGACCAATTTGAGCAGTTAATGTGTTTTTATGCATAGTGCTTCAGCAGTTGACATATATAGAGCTCAGCGGAAACATATAAATTATAGCATCTGACCAATGAGAATTTCGCG